GTTATATATATATATATATATATGGTGTGTATGTAATTAAATTAAGACAATAAAATGAATACCTTCCACTAAAAAAATAATGGGAATACAATAATAATAATCTCATGAATATGGTAGTTAAACACTCTTGATTTTCCTCTCAAGGATTTTGTAGCAAGACAATGGAAAGGAAAAGAAGAAAAACTCTTTGACTTGGTTTTCTACATCTCTTGCATCTTTTGTTTCATTATTTCCCCCATAAAAATTTGGAAGGGGAATAGAATCCAAGTTGATTGGATGTGATGGAAGGTAGGTGAAGGCCAACCAAGGAAGGCCAAGCTCAACTCACTCATGGTGGTTTAGGGAGGAGGAGAAGGGAGGGGCCGTGGAGTACCTAGAGACTATGGAAGAGAAGTTGAGGCAAAAAAAAATGCACACTCAAATTCAATATATCCAAAGTATGTACAAGGTGATAGGCTAGGGTATAAATAGGAGTGCTAGCAGGATGGTTACCAGAAGTAACTAGCTTTACACCCTTACGAATATATTGATCAATAATTTAGTCTTTAACGGAAATAACACCTCTATTTATAATAATCTTTTTATCAACAGGATCTCATATTCTATAGCCATATTTTCCATTTTCATATCACATGAAGATTCATTCCTTTGACTTAGAGTCAAGTTTTGATCTTTCATCTTTAGGAATATGAACAAATTAAATGCTCTACAACCAAACACTTTCAAATGGTTGTAGGATACATCTTTACCTTTCCAAAACTTGTTTGGAACACCACCATTCAATTTGAAGGGGATAAGTTTATCAAATCAATTGTAGTCATGAAAGCTTCACCCAAAAACTCTTAGTTAATTTAGCATGTGATAACAATATTCTCATCCTTTCAGTAATAGTTATGTTCATCATTTCAGCCACTCCTTTTTGTTGAGGAGTCTTTAGAATGGTCGTTCATGTCGAATTTCATTACCCATGTAGAAATATCTGAAAGCTCCCATATATTCTCCTCCATTGTTGGTGTAAACACACTTTGACTTTCTATTAACCTCTCACTCAACACTAGCATGGAAATGTTTAAATACTACAAACACTTGGTGTTTTGTTTAGAGGGCATATGCCCAAACCATCCTAGAGTGGTCATTAATAAAACCACAAAGTATCTTGCACCTCTATAAGTACAAGTGGTCATTGGACAACAAACATCAAAGTCTACTAAATCTAAAACACTGGGTCTCTTATGTATGACCTAGTAGCATAAAGAAGCTCTATGTTGCTTTCCAACCAAATAATGCATACATGGTTTAAAAGTCATATTTGTTCTTTTTGAAATTTGCCAATGTTTCTTTAGGCAAGAATTTGAAGCCTTTTTTCACTCATATGTCTAGGCCTATATATTATGCCATAATTCAATTGAAGTGTCTCCTCCAAGGGAATTATCACACCCATTGTTGACTTTAGCTTCTATCACATAAAGACAACTTTTATCACATAAAGATTGCTTATCTTAGTCAAAGTGCAATCCACTTGAGCAAGACTTTAAGTTTTCATTAAGACCAAAACTCATTGATGTACTATATTATTGGATATGTTCAAATATGATGACCAAGTCCTTACCTAAGGACAAGTATGAATTTTGCAAAAGACCAGCAAGACTATTAGAGCCCTCCACCTAAATTGGGAAGGGGAGCTTAATAGATTTACTTGTTTAGTGGAGAAGAGAAATATGAGGAAATAAAATACTAAATTAAAAAAAAAAGTATGAGAGATTTTTTAGCAAGACAATGGATAGGAAAAGAAAAATGAGAAAATGCCTCCTTCATTCATGGCCATTTAGTTAACAACTTTGGCTATAAAATCCAATTTCTTATGTTGTTTCTATTTGTCTTTGTAGAAAACCAAAATAGAGTTTTGAGAGAGAGAACCACAATTGTGTGAGAGAAAGAAAATCCTTTAGAAGAAAAATCATAAGAAGTGGTTAACGGTTAACCACTTTATTGGTGAGATTATCATTATTGTACTTTTTATTATTATTATTATTATTATTATTATTATTATTATAATAGTGAAAGATATTCTTTTATCCAAGAATAATAATTTATTCTTTAGGCTTGTATTAGGGAGCTTTATTTGTTATCTAAAAATTATTCAGATTTGTGAGAAACATGTAAAAAGTTGACAACGAGATTTTGCTAATTATGCCCACATTTTCAAGTTGCTACAAATATTTTATTTGAAAGGAGAAAATATAAAATAATATTTACAAACACTCAATTCACAATCCTATTACACCTTGAAAATGAAATAATATCTTTTCTCACTAAGTTTTTCTTTTCTACCTCTTTCTCTCTTTATTTTTCTTTCTTGTCGTCAGAATGATTTTAAACACCTCATGAGTTGCCATTTATATATGCACGTAGAAGTCACCTTCCACTCATTATTTTTCCTCTATTTACCGCTAACTATTTCTTAATTGGCTTTCCTACTTTTTCTTAACAAAGAGAAACTCCATTCACTCAATTTTTAGATGACTTTTTCCAGTTACTTCAAATAATCTCCCACTTGTAGACTAAGTTCAATTTATCTTGACACCTCGATCAATGCAACGACCTTATCTACTTTGTTATTGTAGTTGGCCGGTTGAAGTTGAACAAAACTTCAGTTCTTCAATAGTCACCACCTTCATTAATATATTTGCATAATTCTTACTTCCTTGAATCTTCTTTAATATTCGCACCTCATCCTCAAGCAATGATATGATGAAGTGGTAATAGATACCAATGTACTTTGTTCTAAAATGGAATATTGAATTTTTTTGCTATGTACTACACTTTAAATATCATTATGCAAAACATGCCTTTATTGGATGAATCTCAATTAACAATCCATGTAGCCATATCAACTCTTTATTGGTGTATGTTATTTCTACATACTCATCCTCAATCTTTTGTATATGTGACATCAACTAATGGTTATAGTACCAATAGTGAAAATGAAACCAGTGTTACTTCTTCGGTAATCGACTTTACCTCCAAAGTTTACATTTACATAGCCTTGTACTTTTACATCTACACTTAACTATTTCCCAATGAGCTTTATTAAGTCTAGACATAAAACCACTTACAACTCCCATGGTCAATATTTGGCCTCGTACATACCATTGCGTGCATCAAAATTATGATGGATGAAGTATACAAAATGTTAGCCATGAACTCCTTTTCTTCCTCCATTTGAAGGTACTGATTCTTGGATAAGCAAAAAATGACGGGCCAAAGGTGTGCTAATCGGTAATGTCATTGATATTGAATATTTGCAAAATGTGGTTAATGCACTCTTGCTTAAGATAACTACAAAATCCCAATTTGTCTATCATGATTTGCATTTTAAGGATTTTTTTTGCTAAAACCAAGTCCTTTGTGTCAAATTCTTTTGATAATTGTTTCTTCAAACTTTTGATCTCGTCCATATCTAAACAAGCTATTAACATATCATCAACATAAAGTAAAAAATGATATAATTGAACTTATATCTCTTGAAGAAATAATAGTGGCCAGTGTTGCACTTTTAGAAACCTTTCTTGTGCATAAAAATTTCAAATTTTTTGTACCATTGTCTTGGAGCTTGTTTCAATTAAGTCATATGCAAGCTCTTCTTTAATTTTCACAACATATTCCTTTCCCTTATTCTAAGAAACCTTAAAGTCTCTTCATTTAAATCTCCATGAAGAAATGTAGTCTTCATGATTGATTGCTCAATGTAAAGCCTTTCACCAACAATAATGACAAACCTAAGTGTATTGAGTTTGATAACTAGAGCAAAGATTTCAGTGAAATCCTTTGACAACTAGCTGGGCTTTGTATCTCTTAGAACCATCATGATCCTCCTTCATCCAATACACCCATTTGTTGTGAAGTTCCTTTTTTCCATAAATATCAGTGCTACTTGCCACGTCTGATCATAGATTAAAGAATTAATCTTATCCTTCATGGTAATCTCCCACTCGCTAGCATTTGTGGTCTTACGTGCTTCCTCGTAGCTTTTCAGGCACCCCTTCCTCAATCACCAATATATAATTAAGATATTTCCTATAGGCCCATGAGGCTAAGAAGACCTTCTCTAGTGTGTCAACTTGTTGGTCATTATTATTTTCAATTGATTTTTTTGGTCGAGGTCTCTTTAACCAAGGGAAGTTTTGAGACACCATTTACCTATGCATACACTAGCCCTTTCTATTCTTAGTTGCTAATGTATGTGTTGTCTCTACCCTTGTACATCACTCTTTTATTGAAGATCATATCCCTACTATGAATACATCTTTTTTGTTTTTCATTATCCCATAGGTGATAGCTAAACTCATTCTCACCATAATCGATGAAAGTGCATTTCTTTGATTAACAATCAAGCTTATTCATATCTTGATCACTTATGTGCACAAACAAAAAATCTAAGACGTGAGTTTTACCTTTTTTTCTTCTCAATACCTCTTAAGGTAATTTGTGCTCCAATGGTGCCAAAGGACCTTAGTTGATCTAGTAAGTTGTTGCATTTATTACTTCTACCCAACACTACATTGGTAAACTTGTATGAAAATGCAAGCTTATGACTCTTTCAGTTAATGTTCAATTCATACGTTCAGCTAAACCATTGTGTTGATGTGTACTTGGCATGATCCTCTCCATTCTGATCCTATGCATATAACATACCTTCTTAAATCTGGTGTCTTCATATTCACCACCACTTTCATTTCTGAGCCTTTTGATCTTAACCTTGTCTCATTTTCTACTTTAGATTTCCACAAGTTGAAGATCTCAAATACTTTAGACTTATGTTTCAGGAAGTATACACATACCTTCCGGTGATCTTCGATAAAAGTTATGAAGTAATACTTCCCACCAATTGATAAGATAGTTGATATCAAGAGGAGTGATTTGGAAGAAATTGAACGTGAATTAAGAGTAACCTGAATTGTTATAAATTAATGATTAGTGATTCTATGAATAAAACCAAGTACCCTTTGTTTTAAAAGGGAGAGTAGTATGATGTTACTACATAAATGAAGTTGTATTTTCTTGGAATTTTAACCTTTAAGAATTGGAAGTTTGTTGTAAACTATTAGTTATATGCTAGAGCTGAGGTTAATTACATTTTAGCCTCAGAAAAACTAAAGAAAAGATAGAATCGTCAAAGATTAAGTCATAAACCTGGACCGATTTTGTTGGTCATCTTACATAACTTAAATACCCAGTTTCATAAAAGTTCCATCAGTTGTTAAGGTCACTATCACTAATCAAACCCACTCAATATTAATCTGGTCAAGCATTGATCACTGATAGATCTGTACATTGTAATTTTCTATACTTTATTACAGATTATAGTTTAAACAAAATGAACTAAAAATATTTTCAATAAGCAACATGCATCCATGACAAAAATAAACTACAACTTTGTATTGTACAACCTATGCTGAGTTCCGATAAGTACAGAGTTTTGGTTTTAATCCTTCAAATATTTGTTAATTATTGTCTTCAAAATTATTTATTTTTCTTAAAATAGTTTCTATTATTATTTAATGATGAAATGATATACATTTAGACATGTCACATTATCACGAAATAATAATAGAAACTATTTTTTTTTTTTTAAAATTATAAAGACTATAAAATCAACTAAAATAATTTTAAAGTGCTAAAATTAAAATTTGCCATATTAAAAAGATTAAGAACATAGTAAACCCGTATAGAAAGTCTTGTGTTACAACTGGTGACATTCCAGAAAAACATATGCAAGCCTGTACTGGCTGTTGAATTGAAAACCAGTTAATCATACTTTGGTTTGTGGAGGGTTCACATGATTGACTCCCCTGTTGAGACAATAGCATTATGGCATTACCCTAAACATAGTATTCCTGAATGCATTTTTGTGAATGAAAGTATTTAAGATTGCATTTTATGCCATTTTTCAACTCAAGTGTCACTCATGCAGATGTCTCTCAAAAGCTTTTATTTTAAGTATGGGGTTTTGTTATGTTTGTCAAATCTGCAACTATATAATGTTTAATGTTGTTTTCCTTGGTTAAATATAATTAAATTATATATTCATAGCAGCCATGGTGACCCTGATTAGTGAACAGGAAGCTCGAATGGATTCTGGTGAATGGAAACTGCTGATAAATTGTTAAAGGAAGTGATTCTGTTTTGATCCAGGACCAGAAGTTTTGAACCAGTTTGATGCTCCTTTTTTGAATTTTTATTCAATTTTCATTTTTGTCTTTACCTTAGAATTTGCACAAGACATTGACTGAATCGTTTCATTGTTTCTGGTTTAGTCCATTTTATGATGATATCCATTGGTTTTGAGTTGTAATGTTTTATTTGTGTAGCACTGAAGAAAACTCTGCACACTAATGAACTTCAAGTTACTTAAATGAATAGATAAAAAAATGGGTTGTCAGTGCATTAGGTTCATAGTGAGTCCAACGATAAGTGAGGTCTAAAATAATTTTTTATGTCCTTTTTAAATGAAAAAAGTATTATATTAAGTTTTTTAGTTAATATATAAAGCTCTTTTTTTTTTTTCAACAAATGAAACCTTTTTATTTTGTAAAAATTAAAAATAAATAATTTTTAGTTAATAAACCTTAACTTAAATTTTAGGAGTCTTATTCTTGATATCGATCTAGATTTGGTTCTCACCTACACAAGGATCTAGGGAGGGTAGTAAGTAGTATGCAATATGCATGCAGCCTTGACTATACAAGTCAAAAAAGTTTTCAAGATTTAAACATGTGACCCTATGTTACAACTTACAAGGTAACAACCTTACCATTTTGACGTGGTTAACACTCACCTAATAGATAGATAGCCAATGAAAAACAGAAAACTCAACTCAAATTTCAAATGTATGTATGTATCAAGTTTGCCACTATTTCTAAATGTTCTTTACTTGTTTTTCTTTGAATGAGCTTAAATTTGAAATCACTAGTCAGTATTCACTTGAAAGTTTGCTCGTGGCAACCAAGAAAATTTCTGCAAACAATCTTGAATATACTGCTTGTTGATTAAATTCTTCATTAACTTTGTAATATCTATATAATTTTTTTATCAAAATTCATCATTTATTACATTATTATTGACAATTTCTTTTAGGGAATGACGTGTAAGAATTATTGACATTTTTTTAGGGAATGACGATTAAGAATTAATAATGTAAAAATTATTAAATCAAAATTTCAAATTTTCATTTAAAATCTAAAAAAATATTAAAACAAATTTCAATTATAAATTTTTATATGTTACATGCCATTAAAAAAGAAACATGTTTTAATTTCTTGTTTATCTTTAGATAGGTTTTTATTTTTATTTTTATAATTATTGGTATAAAGAATATATCAGTTTAGTTGATAATTAACGTCTATTGAAGAACCTGGTTTATTACTTTTAATTGATCTTCCTTTCTAATCATATTTTTTCTATTCAAGGCTCAAATTCAAAATCATATTTAAAGAGACAAAATCCAATTTAACTTGGACTATCGATTTGTAATTGATGTTTTGAAGAACATTATAAACATTAAAGAAAATAAGAAAGTAAAACAAAAGTTACATGAGAGTTTTTTTTTTGTTTGTAAAAAATAAGTGTATGCATTTTCATACTTAAGAGGAAAAGGTAACCTCGTCATGATCGTGAAAATACTATACTGTATTCTTTTCCCTGGTTTGAGGTTGACCATGGTCAATTGATAATGCACACATTAATTTTCAATTTTCATCAACCATGACCTGGCAACTGTAACATCAATACCAAACTCTTACAAGCATATTGTACAATCACTACCTTACCCAACCAACCACGCAGAACATGTCACATATATTAAAACAAACCGCACGGGGATGTACATGAAGCCAAAGAGAAATCAGCAAATTAAAGATACAATACAAGATGATGCAATTCTGGTATAGGAAATTTTCATATGAATTGTCATACCAACTACGTCATGTATGTATACTATTTGATGCACATAAACATTAGGCAATAAATGGTGCGTGCCACAAAAAACATAGGCTTGAAAACAAGGCATTGTCAAAGTTCTACCATATTGTATTCAAACAATGAGAATCCTATTATCTTGGATAAGAAAGCAATATCCCTATATAGCTGGATAACCACGAATAGAGATGACACAATAGACAAGTGCAATTATAAAACGAAAACACAAAGCATGACCAGTGAAGGCACAGCAACCCTTTCTCAATTCTGTTGCATTTGTGGGGATAGGAGTATTGGGTTCAATTTTTACATTTACTAGTGTGTGAAAAATCACTCCTGCCTCCGTGTATATTTTGAAAATAAATAAGAATAAAAGTAAATGGTTAATAATAAGTTTTATAGTATATATAGTTAGAGTCACAATCCCTTAACATCATGATGTCAAATTAATAAAATGATATTTTTAATAATTTTTTATAAAACGTCAATTCAATTGATTCAACCATTATATTTGATCATATTACTAAGTAGATGAAGTATACAAAGTTTTATAGAAATCTAAAACATTTTAGTAGTTCATTACATCACTTTATTTTAATATATAAAATGATATTCAAAATATATATCAATATGTATTGTTAGATAATATATTTAGAAGTGTTTGAATTATGTAAAATTTAATATACATCATCATGATTATTATCATCAAATATAACAGTCAATTAAATTTTTATTTTATAAAAAAATTATTAAAATTCACTAATTTGACATTATTGTATCGATGGACTTGGCCTGTGCAATATAAGAGTAATATAATGCTTGAAAAATGATAGAAAGAGAAAGAGTAATATTTGATATGTATAGTTTGAAAAATAGTTATAGTAAGTGGGATAATCCTATTTTATTAATAGTATATATTTTTTATATTTTGGAAATCTCTGTGGATCGGAGACCAGCCCGTTTGAAATCCTGAATTTGGAAATTCTTATCCTGTGGAGATGGAAATGAGGAGATAAAAACGAATCTCTCAAAGAAAATTTATAGAAAAGGATCATACCCTCTCACATGTTTGTTTACCCTATAATTAAAATTTCTTTTTAAAAAATAGCTGATTTATGAGATTTTAAAAATTGTTTTCAACTTCTGTTTTGAAAAGATGAAATAATGCAGTAGTTAAACTTTTAAAAGTGATTATTTTTTAAAATAAAGTGATTTTTTTTTAATTTTACGAAAAAGGTTGCTACATATGTATAATGTATCTCTATTAATCTTAATCTTTTATGATTGATCCTACGAATATGATTCAATTTTCTCACTTTATATGTTCAAAAATTGGATTTAAAATCGAAGTTTTAAGATCGGTTAAAAGGTAACTGATCTTAAAAGTGACGTAGTGATAATTTTGTAAATAATATGAAAACTTTTAAAATCGGTTAAATTTTAACCGATCTTAAAAGTACTTTTAAGATCGGTTATTTTATAACCGATCTTAAAAGGTATGTCTGTGAGACCCTTTTTTTTTCTTTTCTTTCTTTTCCTTTTCTTCCAGAACACTTAACTCTCTACTCACTCACTTCTCACTTGCACTTCTCTGTGGATGATTTTGTGCTCTCTTGTTGGTGCTCCATTTGAAATTAAGGTGCTGATTGAAGGTTTGATTTCTGGTTGAAAACGTGCAGAGCCTCTTCCTTCATCTTCTTCTCCAACTCTCTTCTTCTCCGTTTTTCGCCTTCCATTTCCCGGAGCTCGGAATCTTTGCCCGAGGTAAGGGAAGTTAGATTTCTTGATGCATGTTTGATTTCTGGTTGAGAATGCTGAAATGGAGTTTTTGGGGTTGTAGGGGTTATGAGAGAAAATTTGGGGATTTTCTTATTTTGTTGTTGCATGTGTAAAAAGGTAGTATTTTTGAACTCTTGGATGAAAATGTGGTATTTTGGTTGGATTGCATGTGCTGGAAAGTGGGTTTTTTACAGGTTTTTGGGCAAATTTTCGAACTTGGTAAGGTTGCTGCTGAGCTTCGCGCTTAGCGCTGTTCATCGCGCTGGGTGCGTGGCCACCAGGGGACCCCATTTGGCCAAGCTCGTCGGGCGCAATGATGAGTGTGCTGGGCGAGCTTGAGAATGTGGGTCTCTGGCTGGCCCGCGCTAGGCGCGATACCAGTTGTAGCATGATTTTGGGTTCCTGACTCTGCGATGAGCGCGACCCTTGTCGCGCTGGGCGTGAGACTCCTTGGGAGTCTCTACCTTGTGGGCGTTGGGCGCAATTTGAATTGCGCTGGGCGCGAGACTAAGGGGGAGGTCTCTACCTTCCCTGCGCTGGGCGCAGGTTTGTCCCCGCCGGGCGCATGACTCTCCTTAGAGTCTCTGCCTGGTAGGCGCTAGGCGCAAGTGGTATTGCGCCAGGCGCGTGAGAGCCTTGGGCTCACGGGTTGGGTCACGCCGGGCGCAGGCATGCTTGCGCTGGGCGCACTGGCCCCCTGGTGCTCTCTGGTTGTATTGCGCTGGGCGCAACTACGAGGGCGCCGGGCACGGAGAAGAGAATTTACTATGTACTGAATTATGTTGTTTTATGCTGAGTTGATTTGAAATGGATGAGTATAATGTGATGACTAGTAGATAATGTTGGTTAATTGATGTTGAGTTGTATCAGGTGTATATTGTTGTAAGTGGATATGTTGAGCTGTAAAGTTGTGATGTGTTGTAAGTTGATATGTTGAGTTGTAAAGTTGAGTTGTGTTGTAAGTTGATATGTTGAGTTGTAAAATTTGTGTTGTGTTGTATGTTGATATGCGTTGTTGTAGGCCATAAGGGCTGAGTTGTTGGAGGAGATCTCCGAGGTGATATGTGTGACGACACATTATTTTCTAATTGCTGGTTTGTTGTGTAACGATGAGATGTAGACTAACGATGTGTTGATAGTTGAAGTTGTTTCTGATTACTTAAATCTTGTTATACGCTGTCCTTTTTATACTAGCTTACCCTTTGTTGTTTCCTTATGGTTGGACTGCTATGATCGTACTATGTACGGGAACAGAGCAGGGATAGGTGTGTGGCTTGTGGTGAGTCTGCAGTTGGCAGGCGGAGCTAATCTTAGTTGTTGTTGTATTGTTTCAGCTACTTGGTGTAGCGGTTGATGATGTATTTTGTTTTGTTTGGTTGTTATGGCACACTCTAACTCTGGTCGGATTGGGACTTTGTATATATTTATATTCTAGATCCTATATTTATATACTTGTCTTTTCTGTCTAGTGTTTCCGGTGTACCGTGGCGTGTGTAGTGACCAGTCGGGTCGTTACACTTTAGTGGTATCAGAGCAGTTCGAGTCTAGTGGACACTCTTTGGGGGTGGTT